AATGATTAGAGTCACCAAAATGCTGCCTTTGTCTGCCACCAGAGAAACCAATCTATCAATTAACTAAACTAATGCCATTTAACCATTAGTTTATAAGCAACTTAATTGAACCATATATTAAACTTATATTTCTATAATGTTTGAGTGAAACACAAATGCAATTAATGTGTCCTCTATTTGTTATTGTTTACTATTAAATAGTTTCTCATTAGTTCTCTAAAACTCATTGATAAGTTATCTTTTCAGACATGAGAGCTGGCCAACCTACCTAGAACCCTTATGCATTGCAAATGTTACATGTTTCTGTAAATATTTGCGGTTTTATTAGCAAAATTAATAACGCTATTGAAAATTTCATTGAACAATCATACTAACAAGCCTATTGTTGTTATTGTTTAAACATTATGTTATTTTGTGATAAGAGACTTGAGAGAGAGAGAGAGAGAGAGAGAGAGAGAGTCTTTGAATGCCGACAAAGATATGAAATACATGTTTTACTTGATGAATAAAAGTGGCGACTGATTTCTATCTGCTAATTAAATTTGGAACTCAAATAATATTCTAATGAATTAAATTAATATTTATTTGTTAACTTATTATTAAACTCGGTAAAAACATTATCATTATAGATGTTTAACAAATTTTGTATTATTGTAATTTTGTATTCTGTAGTTTGAAACTATCGGTATAAGGAGAACATTTGCCATCTTTACAACTCTCGCCTACTATATCGCAATCATCATCACCATTCTCTTCATTGCATTTTTGTGCGGAGCGTTTGGCCCTATTGTCCACCATATTGTTCATAATTCTATTCATTGGTCCTGGTAAAGCGGCCACTTCATCCATCGTGGTTGACATTATCAATATGTACACCACTAATAATAGTATGATCTTGTTCATGTTTCCTTATAAAATAATTCAGATTTAAATACCGATTTGTTATAAGTTATAACATTTTGTATAACTACTTACACTTGAATTGAAGTTCATATGTTAATGTAAATTATTAACCTTTACCTCAGTCTAGCAGATATCAGTCAATTAAAGAGAGCATGCATTTAATTAATTTTATGTAATTAATTTACTATTACTTATGTATACAAAAATTATACTTTTTTCCAAAATAAGTGTTATGAACCATCTATGTTGTCAACTAATTTATTTTATCGACCAAATGCCCTGGAACAGTTTTGTTAGTAACACAGAAGTTTTGCGAACTCGTAAGTATGCCAAACATTAAATACATTGTTATATTTATTTTATCTAAAAAACAAAATATTCTTGTGTTACTATTCTAAACACATATAAATAAATGGTATTTATTTAAAAAGTTAATTTTTAAAATATTAACTGAGTAAAAAGATTTATTTAATTATTTAAATAATAAACAGAATATAATATAATTACATAAAAATTATTATTAATTATCAATAAATATGAATAAATACTTAATTAAACAAAAAATACATTTTTAATCATCAATTTCATTAATAGACAGAAATCCGTTGCCATTTGTGTCCATCAAATAAAACTCATACTTCATATCCTTATCGGCGGCCAAACCCTCGGTCTGAGCAAAGCTAAGGACCTCCACATAACTGGCCCTCCCGTCCCGGTCTGTGTCCAAACGGGTCAACACATGAGTGGCATTACTTATAACCAAATCATTAGCAGTGGACATGCCATTAGTTTTGCACCCTGATGCAATATTTCAGCACCATAAACTTGAGTCACCAGTCCGGCAGCCACCATCGCAATTACAACCAAAGATATTACATTTGCCCACGCCACAATACGTATTGGCCTCGCTGCAATCTCGGCAGGTACGACCCTGGTCAGGGCACTTGAGTGGTGCAGTACAACAATCTGCGGCTGACGGTTCAAAATTAACCGCAACTACGATGACGGCCAATAAGGTAGCGATTGTTAGCTTTGAATTCATTGCGCTTGGTTGTTTTATTGTTTATGTTATAACAATTAAAAGGTTATATAATTTAACTTATTATAACTTTTTATTTTTAACAAGCTGACTATTTATACTAAAAATTGTTAAAATAAATTAGCTTATATCGTAATTACAGGAATAATTTGCAATGATAAACCAATTGTACTTGGTCAACTTTGTATTATTGCAAATTGAACGTGTAACTAAACAATGTTAGATTTTACACTTATACTTTTAAGTACTAAATTTGCCCATGTTTATTTAGATTGAATTATAATGTAGCAATAAAAAGATTATTACAAATAATATTTATAAAAATTATTATCATCTTGTACATTATATGGTACATTAAGTACTGTATTGTACACATGGTGATACAATTAGTCATCTAATTTTTACAAATAAGATTAAGTTAATCTCATAATATTTGTTGTCTATTGATAATTAGAATATTAATTGCACAATGGTTGTTAAATAGTCAGCGAGATCAAACTATGAACTCAATAAATATAATGTGAAAACTATCAGATGTTATTTTGTTTTGAATTTGAATTTTATTTTGAAATTATAGACTTAACCAAGTACAACATGTTATCATTAAAAATGTTGCCTGAAATTTTGGAAACACATTGTTTATTGTAATATTTATCTAGATAAATAATAGATTTAATACAAATACTTTTAGTATAAATAGTTGACAATTTACAATACAAAGTTATAATAAATTTTTATAACACAGTTATAACAAAGTAAGTATTTCCTAAATAAATTTATTAATTCTAATTAATAAAATTCAAAAATTAATCAATATAAATTATTTAAATTTAACCTAGGTACCACAAAATTGCAGCAATAAATTCAAAGCTAACAATCGCCGCACTATTGGCATTCATAGTAGTTATAGGCAATTTTGGACAGTCAACAGCGGACTGTTGTTTCGCCCAACTCAACTGCCCTGACCAGGGTCGTACATGCAAAGATTGCACTAAGGCCGATATTTATTGTGGCAAGGGCAAATGCAACGTGGTGGGCTGCAATTGCGACGGTGGGTGCCGGTCAGGTAATCCCAACCTCTGGTGTTGGAATATTGCTTCGCATTGCAAAACAATTATGGCCACAACCAATGACTTGGCTATCAATAATGCCACTCATGTGTTCACCCGTTTGGACACAGACCGGGACGGGAGGGCCAGTTATGTGGAGGTCCTTAGCTTTGCTCAGACCGAGGGTTTGGCCGCCGATAAGGATATGAAATACGAGTTTTATTTGATGGACAAAAATGGCGACGGATTTCTGTCTATTAATGAAATCGATGGTTAAAAATGTAATTTTTATTTAATTTAGTTTCTATTTTTATTTATTGGTAATTGATTAATTGTTAGTGTATATGGGATGTTGTGTTTATTATTTAAATAATTAAATAAATCTTGATACGCATTTAATATTTGCAAAATTCACTTTTTTAATTTTTATAAATGCTAATTATTATTTATATTCAATTCAATTAAATATAATTCGTTACTTCACTTTATATCATGAGAACTTAAATAATTATTAATAAACTAAAATTATTCAAAATAAAAAATATATATATTTGAAATATACGTATATTAATGTATTGGCATAATCAATAAGTCTTTGTCTTTGACCCTTTCTAACCAAGATTAAATTATGAAATATATTTTTTATTCTATTATTAATTAAAATAATATAACATATCTATGCACAAAATATAAAGTTTTATTAAAAAAACGTGTTATATATTTTCACACAAAAAAATTTTAATCAACACAATGAGTGAAATTAATGTAGAATTTGTAGCCCAAGATATTCGGGTAATAATTGCCATTTCAGCAGATAATGAAGGCCATAGAAGCGCTGGAAAAAATCTGTTCAGTATTGGAACTAAATATCACATTTTATAATACAGTTAAATACTGGTACAAAAATTTTAGGTCTGGCCGGACATCGTTGGTCACCGAGAAACGTACCGGTCGTCCAATTGTAGTAACGATCGACAAGAATGTCGATAAAATTCGGGTATTTATCACAATTTATCCAAGGTTAAATTTGTGTCAAATCTCGGAGATAATGAAATTTTCACAAGAGAGAGTGTTTGACATTATCTCCAATATTCTTCACGCACGATATCTTTGTGTACAATTGGTTCCCCATTCCTAAACATTAGAGCAAATGGACACCCGATTAAAACTGTGCAAAAAACTCTCAAGATGTTTAGGAATTGTAGCCCAGATTTGTACAATCGTTTGATAACATGAGACGAGACTTTTGTATACTATTATGAAAATTTAACGTCACGTGAAGCTAAGCTATGGGTACTAGAAAATGAGGAGATACCCAAAATGCCTAAAATGGAGGTTCATGTGAAAAAAAGTTATGTATGCGATATTTTTTCGATCGACAAGAACTGTCAAAGTGTTCAAACTAGCACTTCAAGATAGGGTCACTGCCCACTGGTTTACCGACAAATGTCTGCCAGATTTGCGGCGATCCGTGAGAAGCGCCCAAAAGCAGAAACATCTAGATGTTTATTGCATATTGATAACGTACGCCCACACACAGTTTTAATTACCAGGGAATATTTGAATCAAATGGAAATAGATTAAATGCCACACTTACCATATAGCCCAGACCTGGCCCCTGCGATTTTTGGCTATTTCAAAACCTCAAAAAAAATCTTCGTGGTAATAAATTGTCATCTGATAAAGAGATCGATAAATTTATAAATGATTTTTTTGGTCCCATAACTTCAAAGGAATGGCGGCGGGTGTATGACAAATGGCAGGAAAGGCTTATGCGTTGTATTCGTGCCAGGGTAGATTACTTTTAAATATTATATAATAAAATTGTATTAAAATCAATTAATTCATATCAAAGACAAAGATTTATCAATTACTTTAATAATAAACATTTCCATGTAATTTCTATAAGTTTATATGTACAATATAAAAGTGATTATTATTTGTGTAGCATTTAATATAACTTTATAAAAAACAAGAGGAATTAAAAATTTTAAATTTAATTGTTTTATTCAATTCAGCATAATATTCTATACTAAATTAATATAATTTAACTAGAAAATAAATTTAGAAACATAAATTTAAAAATAGGAACCAAAAATGACTTATAAATATAGTAAATATAACATTAGTATTCTGAAATATCTGAAATATAAAATTGCCATAATGTTTGAAGCATTGAAGAAGTGGATATGGTGAACAAATGAATATTATTGAGATTTAACTATTTAATGAAACATTTATTATAGTTTGCAAACATTACACAATAAATTAAACTCTTACTGCTTTTGATTATAAAATGAAAAATTAATAATTTATGTTGCTTTCTGTAAAAACGTATAATCATGAACAACGAACAAGAGTTTGCAATAACAATATTTATTAAATAATAAAATTATAAGAACAATAATAAATACAATTATATTATTCAATATAGATTTGAACCAAGTTCATATTTAACCTCCATATTGGCATCGCAATTTAATGCATACTAAGCCAGTGGAACAGGAAATTTGACCACATTTGACATAACGTTTGGCTCTATGGATGTCAATATTGCCATTGATTGGTGAAGCGGTCACTGCATCCATAGTAGTCAGCACTACCAATGCGGAGACCAATAACAGTACAATCATCTTGTTCATTTTTCTATTGAAAACAATGATTAAGATTCGAATAAACATTTATAACAAAATTATGGTGACTTACTTGACGTTCAAAACTTGAATGCAATAATAAATTTTTTAAAATGATTTTCGTATTATCTGCATTTCATAATATATTATTAATTAAACTTGCTTTATATATTATAGTGACTTACTTTTAAACACTTAACGTGTATTAAATAATTTTTAATGTTATAGTTTCGTTATGATCTAAACGGGTCAACGATAGAACTTAAAGTGACTTTATTTTAAAAAAATTGTGATAGTTTTATACCAAGTACTCAGTTGGGTTAACCTTTACATTTTCCGTATGTTTTTGAAATTGTGAATTCATTATTACTATTACATGATAAACAGAATTGCTTAAAATAACCTTATGTAATTTTATTAAACCAACTAATAAACTAAAATATAAAATTATATTACAAAATACACGTTATTTTTATTACTCTATGATTACTATCATTATATTTCATTGGGTCACTAATGGTCACAATTGGACGCATCGCTAGTGATACTAATATGTCGTCTCGATTCTGTTACGGATTCCAACAACAAATTAAGATAAGTTTGTATCTAGTTAATTTTAAATTAACATAAAATATTGTCAATTACAGGGCTCTTAAAAACATAGGACTTTTTAAACAAATGGCTAATCATCTGATGAAGTATCGTAATTGCGTTAATCTCTTGATCGGGGTTGAAAGCGAAGCAGCATTATGATGATATTAACGTGAGCAGACTGTTTATACACATTAATTGTTAATAAACTACTCGTAATATTAAGTATTTTATGTTACACTTTAAGGCACTTTATGTAAAACCTTACGGTCGGTCTCACGTGAGAGATAATATGTAAATATATAATAAACTTATTTATTGTATTAAAATAACTTATTCTATAATAATTAAAGTATCCTTAATTTTGTCTGTACTGTATATCGCCGTCTGTAATGGACGGCCAACTGCTAGCAATGGCCAGAAATGGGTCGTATTGTGCGCCGGCATTATGGAGTTGGGGCAACTATGGAGACCAGGTGTGTTTAGTCTAGTTTATCGCTGTCGAAAGTCTTTAAACACTATACAGATTGACTGAATGTAAAATTGTCACAATTTAAAAATCACCATTACGTACATATTATTATCAGGCATATTTTTTCCTCCACGTGGTTTGACTTCAGAATCATGTGTGCGACCAAAAAGTAGAATAGGAATGTATGATGAAGTCCATACCCCTAATATTTCCTTCAAGGTCAAAATGACAGATAACTGAACTGAATTTTACATTCTTGAAAAAATCATATCTCCTGATTCGTAAATGGTAAAATTATGATCTAAACTGCATATGGTGTCCGGCCGGGCCTAGAATGTGCCCGACAAAACCACATCAGACTGAGACTCATACTTTGGTCACAAATCGGCATAATGTGATTTCGGAATTTTTTGAAATCGTAAATTAGCCACCACTCGGCCAAAAATGAACTTATATTGACTAAATTTTTTGAGGGACATTACTATTCAGATTATTTTATATAAAGGACAAAGTTTAATGTTAATGGGCATTGGGCCAAAAATTTAATATTTAAAATTTTTTTTAAATTTGCGAAATCAATTATCATTGTAAGCACAATTAAAATTGATATAAATGATGTACAGTAATTACGTCCTTAATTATAAAAAACATTCATAACTGTTACAAAATTTCTTAATTTTGATATAACTTTTAAAGATTGTCAGATTTGGGAAATTCCCTCAGATATCGATTCTACTCATCCATACCTTTCTATTGATATATAGCATGATTTAATTATTTATAAAATAAAAGATTTGATTAATATTAATTAATTAATTAACTATTAATTAATAATGTTGCGGAGGGAACCCTAAATGTTTTTCAAAAGGTTTGGTCCAATAAGTCCATTTTTGGCCGAGTGGTGGCTAATTTACGATTTCAAAAAATTCCGAAATCACATTATGCCGATTTGTGACCAAAGTATGAGTCTCAGTCTGATGTGGTTTTGTCGGGCACATTCTAGGCCCGGCCGGACACCATATGCAGTTTAGATCATAATTTTACCATTTACGAATCAGGAGATATGATTTTTTCAAGAATGTAAAATTCAGTTCAGTTATCTGTCATTTTGACCTTGAAGGAAATATTAGGGGTATGGACTTCATCATACATTCCTATTCT